CTTCATCATCATCCAGGAAGAGAAAAAGAGACAAATAATATGTAGAAAAAGTATAGAAAAAATAAACGTTTTAATAGAAATAGAAAAAAAGGAAGCAATTGAGGAAAGAAAGGAAATTTTTGGAAAGAGAGGCAGAGGTACAAAAAGCGTTGATAACATTTTTAAAAAATACTAAAGCATCTGAACCATAATGTTATAATTTCTATCTTTCTTTGTAATTTATTTGTATCTTATATGTTTATATATTTTTTTACTCAAATACATATATATTAAAAGCATAAAAATTATTACGTTGTTCAATTTGTACTTTGAAAATTATCAATCTTTACTCCATTGTTATTGTTTTTTCATATTATGGATGCATCACAAAATTTGAAAATATGTTTACGTTTATTCCGGACATGTTCTTAGATTCGTGTTCTAATCTAAAAATTTTCAAATTGCGTGAATATCTTGCTGCCACATTCATTGCGGTTCTCCATAGAAATATTATATGTCCTCCTCGGTATTATCATAACACGAGCTTTGTGCTGCAGAAGAAATTTTAAAGAATTAAAAAATTATGTTTTCCAAAAAATCGACTTATACTTACCGAAGTAAATTGAAAGTGCCGTTCTTATTTCTTCTGCATGACGACCAGTGCTTTGATCTGACAAGGGCATGATTTCGTCTGGGTACGAACGATATTTTCAGACGCCTGCAAAATTTCCAACCACTTGCCGTTAACTACGTCATTATGATCACTCAAAAAATTATGGAGAGCGCAGGAAGATAATATAATTAAATTAGTATGTTTTAATGCGTTATCAATTCCCTTTCCGATTCTTCTAAAACGGCCTTTAAGATGCCCAAAAGCATTTTCCACAAACCTGCGGGATTTCAATAGGGCATAATTAAAACATTTCTGTTCCCGGTTTGGCATAGTTGGAATGGATATGGCTTCATCAGTTTATCACTCAATTTAAATGCAGAATCTCCAATTAGAAAAAGGGGAACATCTACATTCGATATATTCTTTTCATGTCCGTCAATAGTTTGCATTCTTCCAACTCTTTCTTCAGACAAGACCCTTCAAAAATTTGGGAATCATTTCAGCGCCCAGGACTTCCACAATTGACATAAATGAAACGACACCTTAAAGACTATTAAGGTTTATAACAAAAGTTAAAAATGTGTTTTACTTCGTAGTACAACTGAGTACCACCCTTTAAGGTTATAATAATCAGTAGCGTCTTCTTTTGGGGGATGAACCTCTATATGACAGCCATCTATACACGTACACATTACCTCTGCTAATTTTAATGCATGAATAACTTACCGATAGCACCAATACATTGAGGAAATCCCAAGGCTTCAAGTTCTTGTCATAGGTTTTCTATTTTATTCTTTGTTAATGGGAATTTTTTTAAGTACATTGGAGCTAAAACTTTCAAAATTCTAAAAGAATTGAGCAGACTGTGCTTTTTCCAATGCCAAACATGTTTCCAATTGTTCTATATTCTGCCGAGGAACCTAAGGCATATAGTCCTATTGCAACCCTTTTTCTAGTGGTATAGCTGCCCGCATGTTCGTGTCACATTTGCGCAGGCCATGTAGTAACAGGCATAGTTGTTTGAACACCATTCGAGTCATTCGGAAATTGTTTTTAAAAAAGGAGTCATCACCTTTTGGCAATCAACTTCCCAAAAATATTGAGATCGTTCCTGCAATAAATATATTTGTAAATTAATATAACATGAAAGACAATAGCATATAGGATGGAGTCATGACAGAAGAATACAGGTAGATGCATCAACGCTTGGGAGCATTGATATGTCAAAAAATTTAAATGTTTTCTCAAATATAAGTATACTTTTATATGTTTTCTTATACTATGTCATTCGGAGGCTATTATAATTCGCGTTTTTCAACATTTTTTACAAATTTAAATAATTTTTCATTCAACATTTTCAATTCAAAAATTTGTTTGACAGTTCATTGTCCCAGCAGCTGTGTCGACGCGTCTACCTATATTCTTCTACCATGGGATGGAGTAGAGCAAATGCATAATTGCGTAGTGTGGTGAAGGGTATAACAAAAACATATTTCTTAATTTTACCTTTCGCCAGCACAATCTTTCCGAGGCAAGTGATACATTGAATCCCAAGTCAACGTCCTAATATTGGAGCTGGATGCCCAAACAATGTCACATTTGCAAGTTTTCGACGGCTTATCACTAGTTTTTTTATTAATTCCTTTTTTCTTTCCATTTTGAGAAGAAAATACTCGCATTTCTTCAAAAGCTGTAATAGAAACTTTGAGATTAATATACGCTCCATACTATGGTAGAAAGCAATAGCCAAATAATTTTTACTTACCAGATATATGAACAATGTTTTATTCCTCCTTATTGTTGGCTTTTTCCCGGGAGCAATTATTTGAATTCTAATCTTCAAGAATCAAGTGATTCGTTCATAGTTAAGTGTCGAACGAGGAATAGAGAGCGAATCATGTACCATGTGAACTTCATATAAAGGAAGATATAAATGCACCACCAAGAGATGATGCAAAACGTATACAAATGCAAGTAAAGAAGCATAAAAGTTCGGCCGGGCTGAATTTTGAATACCATTTGAAATATTTAAAAAAAACTTCCGGAAACTACTACTTAAACGAGAACTGTTATAGGGAGACAAGGAACTGCTTACGATATTTTTTGTCATAGACTGAAGCATGGAACAATTACAGAAGCTAGAACAAAACTACACCCTAAATACAATTTTTTCTTTTAGTGTCCTTAAGCTGTAATTAAAAAAGAAGCTTGAAGTCATGGCTAGGCCATATATTGTGACTTTTCATAAAGGGATAAAAGAGACGCACTAAAATCCTGCCGTTATTTTCCATTATAATTTGACATTAATGTGCCTAGGCATGACTTCAAACTTTTTATGTACTTGCACCTTTATCTGTCAAAACATATACACCTTTTGTGTATGTGTATGTGTTGTCATGGTACAATAAGGAGGTAGAACAGCTTCGTAAAATTACAGAAATACAGCTCTGAGGCTATGCCCGCATCCTGTCAGAATTATTCAAAATTATATCCACAAGTTGTTTTTATTTATTAGATTTTTTTTTTGGTAATTTCTAAAATAGCGCGAAAGATGAATGAAATATCTGGATGGTTCTCTCAAAAATATGATCCTATGTGTTCAATCCTTCAATTCCATGGAAAATCTGGTTAATATTATCAATGCGCGCCCCGCAATTTAGGTTTCTTCCAATCATTGATTTTGAAAATATTTTGTTTGTATTTTTCAAAACAACAAATACATACACAAAATTGGCAGAAGTCGGGCACACTTAGAAAAAATTGTAATCAGCTGGGAGCTCTACCTTACTTATTGTACATGTGTGTTGTTTTGAATAAAAAATACAATAATTTGTAATTATTTCAATTTCGGTTGCAAAATAAATGTATATTAAATCTTTTATATACATACAATTTTGGGATAAAACTGTATTGTCCTACCATTTTAGATTCAATCTTGTTGATAACTCCAAAATTCCATTTTAGTTGCGCGATTTTTTCTCAGTATAAGAATTTAGTTAAAAAATTAACAAAACCGACTGTTGCATATTTAAAAGTCTATTGGACATTATGAGACACTAGCACTGAGTTGCATTTTCTCAGTTCCTTTGAAGTTGAGCATCCTTTCTTATTGAGCCATGGGCTGTAGTACCCATTACGAACTCCAAATACCAAATTTGAAACAATTTCGATAAATACTGTCGCTAAAATCATGAAAATGCCGAATATCGAGAGGCACCGTTTTATGGGGGCTATACGAAAACGTGGACCGACATGGTCTATTTACAAACTTAACCTGCCTACTGCTAACTATGCCTGTATGCAAATTACAGCAGACAGAAAGACGGACATCGCTAGATTGTCTTAGAATTTTATGCTGATCCAGAATATATATATATACTTTGTAGGGTCTATTATAAATATTTCGAGGACTTACAAACTGAATGACAAAGTTAATATACCTTTCAATAATGTATCAAAAAGCTAATATTGAAACAATAGATGCTGAAAAAGGCGTTATCCAAAGAAAATTTGTGCGAACGAAAGCTTGTCACTCACTTTCGTATCAGAATGCGTTCCACTAACATTCGTTCGTTCTTTCATATAACCTTTCGTGACTTTGTTGTTTTGTTTGTTTGTTGCTAAATATGCCTTTAACAATTAATCTCAAAATTAAACAAAAAAGCGACATCAACACCACGTTAGATAATATATTCGTATATTTCATGTTTCCTAAATTTGCAAAATGTAGAATACTTTATGTAGTATGTTTGAAGTGTTTGAGAGATTAGGACCAACAGCTAACAACTATACATTCAGGGGAATGATGTGAAAGCATCAAAATTAAATATTTAAGAAGTATTCTTTTTTTTAAACCAGTAGACCTCTATACTTGCAATTTTTTCGAAGGTGGCCTACCTTGTCTTCATTGTACCTTGGGTAGATGCACCAACGTTTGGGATCATCTAATAGTCTAAAATTGTTAAGTGCTTTGTCAAAAATAAGTCGATTTTTATATATTGATTCAAGATAGTAGAACAAGATTGTACATTTTGATATAATTATTGTCTTTTTTATTCAAAACAATACACACATATACAAAGGTAGCTTATTCTACCTTCTGTAATTATGATATGGACACAGCTTCTGGGACAATGAACTGTCAAACCAATTTTGAAATTGAAAATGTTGAATGAAAAATATTTAAATTTGTAAACATTGTTGAAAAACGTGAACTATAATAGCATCCGAATGACGTAGTATAAGAAAACATATAAAAATCTACTTATATTTAAACATTTAAATATTTTTGACATATCAATGCTCCCAAACGTTGATGCATCTACCTGTATCTTTCTGCCATGGTTCTACCTTTAGTAATTGTGTCATGGGCCATTGTCCATTCAGTTGTAAGTCTCCCTATAGACCTCTAATATAAACAAGAATGCCGCCGATAATATTCATAAAATGCGACACTGTACTTTGTGAGACTTAAATTGATATTGTATTCTAAAATTTCTTAAAAAAAAAGCAAAAAATGGAAAATGAACAAAACGATAACGTCAACAGAGATGAATTGATAATGCAACAGCAAAGGGATATCGAAAGAGAGGTATTTAAGGGTTTTTTGAATTTCGTCTGCGATTGCAACCAGACGAGGCCCCTACTTTTGATAATTTCATGTCTCATCAATATGTGTATATGTCGTTCCATAGATAAGTGACACAATTCCTTTGGTTAGTGAAAAGTTGCCGGTGAACTGCTTGAATGCCGAATATATAGGGGATGCTGTATTTACATCTAAAATTGAAGATTTGTCCGCTAAATATTCGCATCTTAGGCGTACTCGTCCAGATGGAAACTGTTTTTTTAGAGCTTTTGCGTATGCTTACTTGGAACACCTAATCTCGAACAAGGAAGACTATGATAAGTTTCGGCAGTTAGGCGAAAACTCCAAAGACAAACTAGTACAATTAGGATTCCTAGTTTTACGCTGGAGGATTTTCACGAAACTGTAAGAAGAAACATTACAATTTCGAACTATTTTAGAGTTTTACGGTAATTCAGTTTATGGAAGTTGTTAAGCGTGTGGATCCGTCTACGTCCAATCCAGACATATTGAGCGAACAGTTACACAAAATATTTAATGACCAAGGGTACTCTGATTACGTAGTGGTATACCTGAGGTTGCTCACATCAGGAAAACTTCAAGAGGAGGCTGATTTTTACCAAAACTTTATTGAAGGCAATTTTACCATTGAGGAATTTCGACATCAGGAAGTGGAACCCATGTACAAAGAGTCGGATCATATTCACATCATTGCTCTCTGTTCTGCTCTCGGAGTAGGCGTACGAGTGGAGTATATGGATCGGGGAGAAGGTGGTACTGTAAAAGCTCATGACTTTCCAGAAGGACAAACACCTAAAGTTTTTCTAATTTATCGACCTGGTCATTATGATATTTATATCCTAAATAATGTATATTGTTTTACTTCTACTGAAATATTATGAATTCTATGAAAATGAACTACTTCAGTTTACTATAAAAAAAAAAAAAACTAAAGCTATTCGATGGAATTTTCTGTAATTGAGGCGCAAAGTAATGAATACAGTACTGAAAATACGCCGGAGGAATTTAAGAGAGTACAGTGTGAGCAAGTTAGTTTTAACTTATAAATACATTTCTATGCTTGCCCCTAAATGACTAAAATGTTAATTAAGATTTCAAATACATATTTCAATATGTTTTTTTTTATCCTTCAGTCAAGGCCTACATAAGGACGTCCAGAAGTATACATTTGACAACGCTTTGACAATAAACTTAAAAGTTTGTACACAATTGTTATTGAATCTTTTAATACCAAATCAATACAACAACAACATGTATTTTTACAGCAAACATATTTGTCAGATGGGCTTAGGTTAGGTTAAAGGATGCGCGTTGTAAAAAAAAGCAACCACTCCACTCGGAGACCTTTTGGTCCATTATGTTCATCCTAATTAAGAAGAAAAGAAAATGAATAGTGAAGAAGTAAGAATCTGAATAAATAGCAGAGAAGTTAGTAGGTTTGCATCCACGTTGTGTTAACGTGTCGCCTTAGCCATTTTAGTCTTCTGGCTAACTGAAGAATGACTGCTGGCTCGGTGTCGGAGAGGGAGTACAAGTCCAGCAGAATTTGCTTAACCAGTAATTAGGCCCACCCCAAGCTTCAAGTCCAGCTTCGTCACGGATATAAGTGACCTTGACCTCCTTGCGGAGTTCACCGGCCAAATCTTCTTGGAGACATTACATCCCGTTCCTGCATTCCAGAACTGCCATAGATTTGATTGTAAATGAATTTAGAGCCTTCAGGGCCGCTTGACTATCGATATATGTAGTCACCAGCCCGACCTGTTCATTGTTTCTATTTGCCAGCAGCTTAGTCGCCCACCCTTAGCCTATCCATCAGTTTCAACTGACAAACAAATTTAATGTCAAAATACATTATTGTGATTGAAATAACAGAACAAAAGATAAACAATAAGCCGAAATTAAAAAAAATACATTTTATCTAGCTTTTAAAATTTTCAGGAAGTACTTGTTATTGCGCCATGGTTATCCGATAAAACCAGCTGATTTCAAAGTAAATGCCAATTGTGAACGTGAATGTAAAAATGCGAAATTTGAACATTTTTATTTTGATTTTTGGAATGTACAATTATAATGCAATTGTATTGCATATTTTTTTTATTATTTTATTTTGATTTACTCATAAGCTGTGTAGTCTTTTTTGGGTAGTATAAAAAAAAACGGACAAAAATATTATTCAGAGGACTTTTTTTGGGTAAATGGAACTATACGAATAATATATAAAGGGTCAGATATGAACAAAAAACTCAATATTTTATCGCGTTCGAACGGTTTTGTTTTAATTTGAACGGAGAAGGACGAACTAATGAATACCAAATCTTAAAGGGCTTTCGTTGCCTGATAACATTGAAATTTATGGCGGTGCTCGTATGAAGGTGCATTCGTATAGTGAAGTGAAAAGCAAATATATGTAAAATTGGTTTCTATCTTTTAGACGATAAATTTCCAGCTCTTCCAGAGCCTAAACAAACTTTAGAAAGAGGTTCTAAATTTTTACCACATAATATTATTGAATCTGCTAGTTATTTTCACAAAATTAAATCTTATGATAAAGTTGCAAAAATTAATAAAATTAGAATCCGGAGAAGAATGCTAGATTGGCACAACAACAGTATTGCAAGGCACTTGCGGAAAGCGAGACCTATGTAATACCAAATTGTTCATCCATAAATTTTTCTGAAATTCATAAAACTTCTGAATTTGTAAGTCATTACTGATATGCTAAATAAAGTCCTAACAATACCAAATTTCGCTAATAGTGAACAATTAAGTCTCATTAACAGAATTAGAAATGAAATGAACAGCAGTCGCACCCAAATGGATCTTCAGTCGATGAAGAAAAGTATTCCAGGACCAAAACATTTTCTGATTTTACTTTTTCATGAATGTTTTGCAATTGAAGAATAAATTTAAAAAATATATTATTGATATTGCATTATTACAGAGTCGGGGTTCAAAGACGAAGAGCAAGAGGGGGAATTCCCTGACTTATAAGCTACTGCTACCAGTAGAGACAATGTAGCTGTGCATCAACAAAATCCTGATATGGGAGAGGATTTGACAGAGGAATATATTGACATCTTAAGGGAGGACTGCTTGGTGAGGTTAGAGGAGAATCCTGCGGAAGAATCTGGTGACAACTCTGTGTTAGACTTTCCTGAAGATTCGACTGACGTTTTTGAAGAGAGGCCTACTGAAGGTCATAGGAATACGTTCGTATTAGCACCCTCAAACACTGAGTTACCAAAATTTCCCTTTGAGACATTTCAAATTTTTATTCAATCAAGAAACCATGCTTCGGCTCCAGGGCCAGACCTGATATCATATGATTACCTAAAAATACCATCATCTTCCCCGCTTCATGCATTTTTCAATATTTTTTGCAACATTTGGAAAAGCGATTAAAACCCAAAGGAATAGAGGAATATTAAAATTTCATTAATCCCGAAACAAGAACAGCACCCCTTTAAAATATAAAACCATAGGCCGATATCGTTGCTCTCTGTGCATCTTAAATGCCTAGAATCAATGATTATAAAATTGTTAAAAAATTTTATCGAATACAATCACCTGCTCCAACAAGTTTTTATGCATTCAGACCGGGCCATTCGACTTCCATATGTATTAATGACTTAATTAACATGGTATACGCTCTAAAATCAAAAGGATATCACGTACTAGGATTCTGTGTAAATGCTTACGATTGCGTTTGTGTCGAAATCTTGAAATCTCAATTAGAAAGTTTGGGAGAGTAAACGACGGGGGGATTATCTCCTCCACAGGATTCGTTCATGGTAGTCGCGTCGTAACCGTTAATGGTGGACTGGCTCAAGGGAGCGCATTGAGACCACTCCTCTTTAACGCATACACAGTCTCTTTACATAAAATTCAGTCGGAGAACTGTGTTTTATTCCAATACGAGGTTGATTTCTTTTTGCTTGTTTTTCAAAGGGAGTTTGAGCCCGCCAGATCTCTTCTGGATGCCAATATTTCACGGCCACATTATTTACCACATGGACTGCGGAGATTAGAACGCAGCTGAATGTGCAGGTCGAGGGGCACATAATTCCGACCACCAACTACCCCAAATCCTTGGGGTCACATTCGATAGCATGTTCAAGTCTTCCGCGCAAGCCACAGCTATTTGCGATAAAATGAAAAGTAGGGACAAGGGGGTCCTCAAGGCGCTAGCCGGCAGCCTTGTTGACCTCTTATAAAGCGATAGGTCGGTCTGTGATCAGCTATGCGCCCTGAGAACTGCAACAGAGTGCCTCCTCATGACTCCTGTGGAACATTTACATGAGGAGACGAAAGTTCTTGCCTTACGTCAGCATAATCATATGCTTTCGTTGCAGTACCTGCTTGGGTGTTATCGTGGGAGTCACCCTAACCACCACATGGTGGACAGAACTCCCCCACCCAGGCGTGTCAGGAAGGACCTGCATGATCTAGAGAGAGAGGTCCAGCGATATAAAAGAGAGCCCCTAGATCATGAAGCCTATCAAGCGGGTCTGAATAGCATTCATACTGGTGCAGCCGTCTCAATTCGTATTGGGCACGAGTTGAGGAAAATGTGCCAAACGCCTGCCCAGCGTGCGAAACAGGCCCGCACAATACGCTGCACCTGTGTAATTGTCCAGCCAAACCTACCCAACTCCGTCCGAAGGATCTATGGCTACAGCCCATAAAGGTAGCAGAATTCCTAAACCTGGACATTGAGGAAGAACCGGATTAGTCAGAAAACAAACAACGGTAAAAGTAGGTGCTTCGAAATTATTTTTTCAGACGGTTCTGTCTTCCCCAATTTCTCTGGTTCGGCCCTTATTCACGAAGGCCATGGTATAGTGTTCGCATTTTCCAACATTACAACGGTCCTTCGATGTCAGCTGAGCTTATTGGTATCATGAAGGCATTGGAATGCGTTATTGATAATGAGACCTCTAAATAGCCATTCTATATTATTGTCTTAGTGATCTTAAACAGGGTACGAAAATAAACTATATCAAACGTTTGCAATCTCTTCGTTCTGTATTTTCTCGAAGTATGAAACAAAACCGATATTAGATTACGGGACTTGTTTTTTATTTTGTACTGTTTGATTACGTAGATGAGTGAAAACAAAAACAAAACTGAAATGTACTCGGCGTACGCAAAATTGGAAACGAAACAGTACCCTGCATATTAACTCATTACAAATACATTTAAAACTAATATTAAGTTCAATTCATGCCTTTTATTTATTTATTATGTCCATCATACAATGGACAATGTATCCTTTGCGAACGAAGTTCGGCCGAAGCACATTAACAGACACACCAACAGTCGGCCCAACTTGTGACAAGTTGGTACAACTATTGGTGCGTCTGAGGGCTAGTTGTACAACTTTTTCGAAAGTTGGTTGAAGTTGGTTGGAAATATCAAAAATTTTTGATAATTTCGTAAGTTGGGTCAACTGTTGGTGCGTGCGAGGACAAGTTGTACCAACTTCAGTGTTTTCTTTATTTATGTCTTGACTTTGGTGAAGCAGCACATACATAAGCTTTTTCTTTCTCTGCAGTTGTCTTTCTTCTTCTTCCTCTAAAATTATATCAATTCCAAGTAGCGCAAGAGCATCCGAGTTCATGTTGACGCTTCAAAAATACTTTGTAAATGAAAAGTTGGTACAACAGTTGTATTAAAAGTTGGTACGTGCGAGGAGACCGACCAACTTTTTCATACAACTTAAAAGTGACAAGTTGGGCCAACTGTTGGTGTGTCTGAGGGCAGCTTTAAGGCAATCGTATTGTTTGTGTATTTCTGGCATTGAAATGTTCGCGGTTTTGTTCGGAGTACAAAACGATTGAAAAGATGTTTAAGTTTGTGACTACGTGTGAGAGGTACGTTATTTGTTTCGTTTGGTGGCCTTAAAGCAATTAGAAATCGCAAACGAATCG